AATTTTGGTGCTAGTAAGGCACATCATTGCCTCTCTCAAATTGATAGATTTAGGAGCAACAGACTATTTGGATAGCTTTTTCAATCATACGAGACAATTCATCTACACTTCATCTAAAACCAAGTCGCAAGAACAAAGAGGACCACATCTTTTGAGAAAGCTGCCAAACTCAATAGTGGAGAGATGAGTTATCTAGCTGGTGTAAGTTACCGATCAAGAGAATCCATGGCGGGCCTGGAGAAAAGTGCTTCCAATATTTTTATGTTCGACGAAGAAAAGAGAGAAAAAGGGAAAAGGCTCGAAGAAAATAGAGCAACACCATTTTGGTCTATGGAGCAATATCCCTGAGCAAGGATCGACCAATCTCCTTAGACAATGTTTGAGATGCTATTATTGCTCAGTTAAATTGGTTACTTATTTTGTCTCTATACTACCCACTTTTAAAGCTAAAAGTACGAGGAGGTAATGTATATGTTCTTTTATTTCTTGAAAGGCGAGAGTAATTTACTCATAAGAATAGCTCAACGCATAAACTTAATTAGCCACAGCTAAGAGACAGCAAGGTTGGAGACATAGCAACAAAGGAAGCGAACCCATTAAAGAGGACCCTACAGAATAGCCTAGGAGGAGTTCCTATCCACCCAAAATCCCTGCTTTTGCAAGCCCGTCAACCAAGGAGGTAATGGTACTGGATATGTAATCACCACAAGCTTGACAATGGTGAAGGTACTCAGCCCGGTTCCTATAATATGAACCTTGCGTGCAGGTAACAGTATACTGCTGCAATTAAGATGTATTTGGTTTTACACTTGATAACTATGTAGATACTACTACTATTCTTCATGTTAAGATAAAATTCAGCTTATTTTATATTCTGGGTAATTCATTTTATATATATTTTTTGAAACAAAATATCATAAGATGAATCTGTCCGAACCAGAAGCAGACGATCACAACAAGTCGGAACAGTGGCAAGACAGAACAAAAATGCTGCTGCAACAACTTTTAATAAGTGGTCGCAGTAATACAATCTTGTGGAGCACGTTGCAGTTAAGATGTATGTCTTGGTGAACGTAGTTGGGGGAGGAGGGACCATTTCCTCACTCAATTTTGCTTCTAAAGTCAAGCATGAGAGCTGTGAGGAAGCATCAGTAGCTCTCAATTGCATTCCGGACTTTACATCCCAGCAAGGCTTTGTTTGAGAATAAGGTTAAAGACAAGAGGCCCCATCCGACCAAATGCTGCTTGCAGGAAGGAGAGACACATTATGAAATTGCCTCTCACACTTGTGGACCTAAGCTGACCGAGTCCTTAGGCCCAGCCCAAATTATTAAAGCTCCAGGACAAGATTTCTCTCAGCAACGGTCGGGTCGATAGATTTAAGCAAAGGGGACAGTTTCATTTTTATCATATGTACCATACCTGAGGGTCGAGGAAAGTTTAGTCTAATTTTGCCTAGTTATTCAACTTTTGTGAGCGATGCCATGTTCACAAGCTACGTTTAAAGCTGTCACCCATCGCCCATGGCCATAATTCTTTGGTGCCTGCCCCTGACTTAACCTTTAACAAGCAACTAAACGTAGTAACCTAGTCTTTTAATGAATTTTAACCTGGATTAGTAAGTAATGAAACTACCCAAAACCCATATATCTTTGCCCTTTAGCCTCTCTTAACCTTATTAATATTGGATGTATCCAAAGAGGATGGAGGCCTCACCTTACTTGATTCTTGGTACGGGATGTCTCTCGTTGATGCTAGGCAAATTGCCTGCCATGCCCTATAGATCGAAATATAGTTACATTAATTGAGAATAATAGGGACTGTATATATCCTCTCCCCTCCACACCCCCCACCCCACCCATGTGAGAAGGGGCTCCACCACGTTATTTCAAAGGCGGACCCGGAATGGTGGACAGTCAATAAGCCGTTGTACCTAAATGCCACCATCCCCCCAGTTGATTTGCTGAAATTATTCTTCACCCGGGAGGTAAAAAAAGGGCAATGCGTCCATCGGCCGTTGATCGGGATGCTTTCGCTTTGAATCAGCCCTCACCAAAAGCTTGGATCAAAGGAAAGAAAATGTTGTTTTACTAATAAAAAAATGGTTGTTAAAGAGGTTGGTGCGATTAATATCTCCGTTGATGGACACAATGAGAATGATTGGAGACCATGCAATTTAAACAAAACCTTGAGAAAAAGTCTTTTGAAATATGATGGTGCAATAAATACACAACAAAGCTCTCTCTCTCTTTCTCTCTTTTATCTTTCTATTTATTCCATGCAGCTCACTAAGAGTAGGGTGATGGGTATTTTTCTCAGATTAAAACTTTTTGAAAGCAAACCATTAGAACTATTCTCTTAATCAGTATGTTTTTAAGTTTGGGTCTCTGTATTCTCACTCTAAAACCATGATCAAACAAAAAGTTCATGTTCTCCAAGTGATCACTCAAAATACTAATTTTAGTAAACCATTTGGACTTATAATTTTCAATGTGGGGTGAGGTTTCGGCCGGGGCGGATACAAATGATTTCTGATTTGGTTTTGTGGGTATAAACAATGATGGGATGTAAAGAAACATTCCACGAGAAAAAAATGCAAAGCTAAAAGGATGACAATGCAAGCATATCAGATAAGAATATGCACTTTTACAGCTTGGTTGAGAAAAGATAAAAATAAAAAAGAAAAATACCTTACCATAAAAAGACTGGGTTCAGAAATTTTATAAGTGGTTTTTTTCTTCTTTCTTTGTTTTCTTGTTCTCTTTTTTTCTTTTTTTGGTTTGTACTTATGCTGAAGTTAAGCATCAATGATGAAGAATGATTAGACTAATAAGACTTGATTAATCCTTAAGCCGCTAACTCAAAAAGGGCATTATTTTCTTGGGTGGGGTTCCCACTGTGACAGATTCATGTCCATGGCATATCCCAACTTGCAGCAGCCAAAAACATGGGCATGCCCGGAGCAAGCAGATCACCCTCCATAAAATGCAGGCAGCATGTGCTCATACGTGTCGTCCAGCCAGTTTTGCCACCTGGGAATAAGGACAAAAGAGCTGTCAAGGGTTTGTTATTGATTAGATAAACATAATACGCATATATATATATATATATATATATATATGCCACCGTTATGGGGAGGGAGAGGACCGGAATAACCCGACAACTTCCGTTGCTTGTTACAGGACACCGTTTTCTTTGTTTATTCCTAGTCCCTTGCGTAGACCATACCCCACCCAGCACCTTATCTACTCATATTTCCAAAAATTACCTTCCTAACTCTTTTTTTTTGGTATAATTGAAAATAATTATCCTTTCCGTGGTTAAATATTTTTATTTTTTCATAAATTAAGATAAAAATTTTGATTGTAATATATTTTATATTTAAACTTAATAAAATTATAATATAAAAGTGCAATATTTTTAATATAAAAATAATATTAAATATTTGAGATATTTCAATAAAAAAATGAAACAAAAAGAATATCGTTTATAATTATCACATTGTTATGATAGTTTTAATTTTTTTTTATAATTGAAGGAGGGAGATTTAAACTTT